ACTGATTGCAAGCTGCCCGCTCGCTCCGCCTGCCGGGGCCCCTCTCCTGCCTGCTGCTGCGAATGTAGCGGCGGCGGCGAGACAGAGGGCAGCACCACCCCCGCCTCCACGTCCCGCTCGGCCCCCAGGCCCCGCCCCACCGGCGGCAGGCCGCCGCCGCCGCCGTCAAAGCTTCCCGCGCCCCGGGCCACCGCAGCCGCCTCAGCCGCGCCTGCCGCCGCGGCCGCCGCCGCCCCGGCGCCCTTGCCCAGCGCGGTGCAGCGCAGCTCGTCGCGCCACTGGTAGTTTGCCCTCCACTCGTCAAACGTCTCCTGGTCAGCATGAGTCATCGCCAGGGCCTGGCGGACGTCGGCGGCGATCAGAAAGCCGACCATGTCCTCGGATATGATCTTCGGGGCAAGCAAGGGTGTATTGTTTGACTTTGATTGAGAAGTGCGTCGGCGGTTGGGGTAGATGGGTGGAATGGGTGTGGAAGGCTTCGGCCCGAGTGCACCTGCCCTTACATGTGCCCTCTGCATTCGTCAGAGCCGCCGCGCCCGCACGCTTCATTGGAGAGGAGCGAGCTCCTACAAAATCTCTATCTCTCTCTCACACACACATAGACACGCTCACACTCACACTTACACACACACACACGCTTGCACACGCGCACACACAAACACACCTGCACACACACACACACACCTGCTCGAGCGGCATGATGTGCAGGTTCACGCCCCCCCTGGCCGCCGCCGAGTCCGTCGCCACCAGCAGCGCATGGATCTCATCATACACAAAGGCGGCCGCCTCGCGGAAGGTGACGCCGATCAGGCACTGGGGGAAGAAGGGGACCTCGTAAAACTCCTGGGAGGCTGTTTGTTTGGGAGGGAGGGTCGAGGGTTGTGTGTTGCAGGCGCACGTAAGGCTCGCCGCAGGGTGGTTTTGGGGGAGACTGGAGGCTGGGATGGGGGTGGCAGGCGGCAGCTGCGGCTGTGTCAGCTGCTGGGACGTCGACGAGGCGGGTGAGTCGAAAAACATCTTGCTCAGTGACCTGCAGAGATCTCAGCGCTTGGAGGGATTGGCCCCGGTCTCCTGCCGCCCCTCTACACCCCTCTTACCTCCAGCGATGTAGTTGCTCAACCACTTAGGAGTGCCCTTGCGCTGCAGAAAGTGTTTTCGGGGAGCGAAGCGCGAGCAGGGGGTTCGGGCGAGCGCAACGGAGGTCGAAGCTGTAGTAAGGCTCACATGCAGGTTGCGGCGACCGACACTCATGGCGAATTCCGCGTGCAAAGCGTCTGATCAAGCCGCAGCGTGACGTGCGGCAAAGTGTGAACAAGGTCGCGGCAACCCCTATAGACAACACCCATCTGCCCAGGCGCCCACGCGCAGCCTCCGGCCGCCGCACCTTGTGCAGCGAGCTGTGGCCCTCGATGGTGTGACAGAGGTTGCCCAGCAGCGTAGACACCCCCGGGCACCCCAGGGTGCTGTGTGCCAGCAGCGCGCCCCGCAGCTCCCCCACACACACCACCTCGATGCCCTGACTCAGCCGCTGCCAGAACGCGGCGCCAGTCACAATCCCCAGGCTGTCCTCTGCTGACTCATCCCCCAGATCTTCGTACGCCGCCGCCGCCGGCCGCCGCCGGCCCGGCGCGAGTGAGGCGAACGCGTGAGCGAAGGACTTGCCTGCGCCGGGGCCCGCGCCTGGCTGGTGGGGCGCCTGGCCGCCACCGCCGCCGCTGGCGGCGCCGCCGGGGCCGCCCCGCGAGGACTGGCGCGCCATGTGCCATTCCCGGTCCGCCTGCATCGCCCTCTGCTTCTGCTCCTGCTCCTGCTGCTGCTGCTGCTGCTGCTGCTGCTGCTGCTGCTGCTCCTGCTGTTGTCGGAGGGAGTCCGGCGGCCGCGCGCCGCCCGACGGCTGCGGCGGCGCGTCGGGCGCCTCGAATTCATCTTTGTACGAGCCCTGCCGCGGGGGCCCCGCGCCCCGCCGCCTGTCGGCGCGCGTAGACAGCTCTTGGTGCCACCTCGCAGGGTCGTCTAATTGGGAAGCCAGGAAGACCTTTGCATCGGCCAGCCTTTGGGAAGGGGGGAGGGTGCAAACGACAGATGGGATGGGGGTGGGAGAGTGGCGGGGAACAAGACGTGCAGTATTTGTTTGGGAGCTCAGTGTTTGGGGGGATGCAGCTGTGGGGGACCAAGGCAGCTGGTCAGTGCGCACAGTGCTTGTGTGCGTGGTGCAAGCCGGCTCGCGCGCGATCATGGCAGATTCCAGCCGTCGCAACGGCGTATCCACGGAAGCAGTTCAGCAGGCGGTGCGGTCATGTTTTGCACACACACGAAGCCAGACCCAGCCTCATTTGCGGACAGGCACGTCAAGGGAAACACTGATCGGGAGAGCGCACCCGACAGAGGCTGGCCAGCGAACGGGGCGCCCAGTCATGAGCAGGGCACGAGTTGATGGGTTTTGGAGAAACCCCTCGACCCTGAAACCTAAACCCGTTGCATGTGCCGCTCACTTGCTGACGGGCGTGCCCCCGAGGGCCTGGAGCTCTGCCTGCAGTGCCTGGCGGCTCTCAGGCAGCAGCAGCTGCACCACGATGTGCGGCAGCGTGGTCGGCGGCCGGCTCTGCGCGTATGCATGCGTGCGTGTATGATTTTGTGGATGGGGGGGTGTTGGGGTGTGTGCATGTGTGTGAGAAAAGGTGTGATGGGGAGCAGGGTGCGTGCATGAGTGGTGAGTGCGCAATGGGTTGCAGAAAACGCATATGCAGGCAGCAAATGCATGGTGAGATTGGCAAACTGCTGTTCGAGGCACGGCTTAAACTCCCTCCGCAGGAAGGGCAGTGGGCGGGAGGGCGCAAGCAGTGGGTGGGGGAGAAGGCGGGACCGCGGAGCGCACCGCCCAGAAGCTGAAGCAGCGCAGGTCCCACTTGTGGTGCAGGTCAACGGCGCGCTCCTGGTTGGGTGAAGGATGGGCGCCTCAGTTTGTGTTGTGGGGATGCAGTGTGTGTGTGTGTGTGTGCGCGCGCGCGCGTGTGTGCGTGTGTGCGTGTGTGTGTGTGTGTGTGTGTGTGTGTGTGTGTGTGTGTGTGTGTG